TATATTCGGTCATCACTCGATTTCGTCCTTGCAGCGCTCCATAGTAAGTCCGGTTTGTAGTTGTGTTTGCGGTGTTTTGTGCTTAAACTGCTATCGAGTGACTTGAGTGACTAAGGCAGGGTAGCAGTAAACAATATAACAGCAACAAAGCAACAATTCAATTGTAGATGGACAATCAGCGACAAGATTGCTTGTAACGCTCCACTACAGCCACAGCAGTTGTCGGACATCGGACACAATTGAAGCAGAGCACAAACTAAGCAGCTAAAGAATAGTTGATGCTCAAGCAGTATGGTCCGAGTAACGGAACGGAAGGAAGTATGAGCGGCTGAGTAGTTCGGTGGTTGGTGGTGATGGTGGTGCAATGAATGCCAGCTTGTCGAGAATGAAGAATGCATGAAAGATCAGGGCCAGTTTAGTTTGTTGTTTGTTGTTGAGATTTGACGATTGGTCAGCGCTGAAGTTGTCGTAAATCGAAGGCAACATTGACGACAGTAGGTACATATGTACATAAAGTGTGAAAAGTTATCTCAAATTTCAAGTAAATATTGAAAGGAAGTAGAATGGGCGTTAACTGTGTGGAATAAGAAAAAACCGACTACTAACTTTTACTAGGAAATGGAGCTGTAACAGCTGGTTAAATTGTGAAATTCCTGATTTTGCTGAGATAAAATAAAATAGTAAATACAAATTTTTTAGCAATCAGTTTATATATTCATGCAAAATATAGTATGTAACACATCACTGACTATTCGCGAAAAACTCCACATAAATGAGACTCTCAACACATATATTCCAATAGCTTTATTTAAGGCAATATACTCCATCTCGAGTCTTGGCTCCACGTTCGCGCCATCTAGGCAACTTGGGCAACTTGGGCTACGTCAGAAAGTGAAGGAGATTTAATGGTACCACTCCGACTAATTCTGTTTAAGGACTGGTCGAAGGTGTTCTAATAATAATATTGTGAACCATTCAGCCACAGCGGCCGAAGGTGATCTACGCAGCGTCAATGTAGTGAGCAGTCAGCAGCCTTTACAACCATAAGCTACCGTCCCAGAGAGGCAGATGAACACCTTGCCGCTTGCAGCCAGATGCTGCAAGAGTTATAAGCTGAAAGACTTTTACAAGGATGAGTTGAAGCTAAATGGAATCGTTGGTGGAGGAATTTCCTGTCGGGAAATTTCCTTAAGGCTTATGTTTCACACAAAGATGACTGTTATTTGAAATGCCTAACTTCTTTTTCGCTTCCAGCAGTATATTTCCTAGTCAGACTTACGCTTATTAATGCCAGTCCACAGTTATATATCAGGCAACTGCATACTGGATGAGTCGGTTAGAAAGGTTAACCTGGAGATGGTTTCACCGGGTGTCAAAGAGATGGAAGTACCTCTGACTAGCCGCGGACTACTCTTGCGTCTCACGTCAGCTCAATGCCCGCTGAGCGAAAACCAAAAACACGAAAGATTTTTCTGACAAAAAGTGGACCGCACACACTAAAGTCAGCTTCTAAGTCTAACAAAGCTTCCTAGCCTTTGATAAACAGCCTTTGGCGGTTTGAGTTATTAACATCTCGGCTCGCACTTTCTGAATAGCCCTGAGGCTTTATTTAGCCCTGAATTTATTTATCTGTGGAATTTCAGAAGTACTTGGGGACTTGACCCCCCAAGAAGTCGATGAAGGGACTCTCCTTTAAACTTGAGGAATCTCAACAAAACATGTGTTAATCATATTTATTGATTCAAATTAAAAGAGGAACGACTGAGATAAAGCAAGGCAAGTTACCTACAAAGGTTTTGTTCTAAACTTACATCTAAGCTTTGCAAATCACCTACAGCTTTTGCACCCTAGATGTTGCCTTAAAT